CTGACGGCTGTGGCGCTGTCAGCGCGCGGAGCCGGCGTTTCAGCGGCACTGCAGCACGCGCTGCGTTTTACCGCCGAGTGACTTGGAATTTGTTTTGAGAAGCGTGAAAAGCAGTTTGTAAGTAAAGGCTTTTAAATGTGAGAATCTGACACCTTAAGACACTTGAATAACAACTAGTTTGCTTTTCCATACTGAACTCACGCTGCTACACTGACCGAGCATTAAGAAAAAGGGTAGCCCGGCCTGTTACTCTGTAGAAACAGATTGCGGTTCCCACCTAGGCAAAATTGTTCCACTAAGTGGTACAAAGAGAAGTAATCTGGCTTATTAAAGACCGTGTCATTCAGAGAGACTGACTGAAGGAAATTACATCCAATTTGATTTACTCTGTAAAATTGCATTTTAAACATTAAATCACAACATTCTTAAAAAAGTAATTTTTTTTTTTACTTAATTTATTTAGGAGAGTCTCCCATATGCAAGGAACAGCTTTCTAGTTCTTGGAGGAATGTCTCCGTAACTTCTCTATAGCTTCTCTACATCCTGCATGTAGCTTCTGTCGTTCTGCACATACAAATTAAATGGGTGTTTTAAGGGTACATGAAATTGTCTTTTGACTTTACTGAAAAAGTAGAATTTGCCCCATAATTTCTTTAAAGTCCTGGACAGCTGTTACTCATAAATGCATTTATTTAGTATTTCAAGTCTTCCAAAATTAAAAGAACCCCCAAAGTCTTCATTTACACATATCCAGCATGCATATGAAGAGATATGGCTTTATGTGCAGAACTAAAATGAAAATATTTAAATGAAGTAGATCACCCTTCATATCAAGTTCCACATTTTCTCCAAGTATTTCTTGATGTAAAGTGGAAAGCTGAAACGTTCTAAGTGGTGGGTTGTTACCTGTTGTTAGTCTTAAGGTGCTGATTTGTAATTGTACATCATTAACTATGGGTAATTGCATTTAACCTTATTTTCCCAGATAAAAGAATAAATGTTCTATACACTGTCCCCTCTTTGTGCCTTAACAGTGCTTGACTGAGACAACCTGCGCACCTAAAAGGTTATTTCAGCCTTATATGTTTTGTTCAGTTTACTTCATACATGATAATACTCCTGTTCACTGTAAAGTTAACTGAAGATATTCTTTTCTCACATGCCACAAAATAATTATTGGATCCTAATGTTATTTGGTCATTCAACTCACGATGTTACAATATCCTACAGTAATACCCAGAAATGCTGCATGTATCTACTGTGGAAAACCATTGGACCATTACTGCAGAGCATGCTTCATCATTGATAAGTTTCAACACACAGATCAAAAAGCAGATCAGCTGAGTTATCTCTCTTTATTTATACAGTATACTCTAATTGTACTTTTAGAGCTAGTGACCTATCTAGGAATCCAGTCCAACAACTCTTCAATCTTGTCCTTGCCTGACAAGTGAGTATTCCCACTGCTGTTATTCAATAATTAGGTTTGGGGGGATTACGCGGTTTGTCAGCAGCATAACGAATGTGTATACATGCAAATACTACTACTGAAAAGAATTTCTGAAGCTATCTTTCTACATGAAGGAGCTCTAAATCTGCTTTCTTTTCACTTCCTGAAGAGAGTTATATTTAGTAATGGATAAAGTATGTGTTACAATATGTTTTTTTCTGTACCACAACAACTACTAAGTTACATGTTCATAAAACAATTACAAATGGTAAGTATTTCATTTTATATTGAACTATTTGTGTAATTATATTGCAGTTTAAGGTCTTGTATTTCAGAGCCACTTAGAATTTGGTGAAAGGTGAAGGTGGTGGCATCGCAGAGGACATCACCGTGGCCAGATCTGTGGATTGCACGGTGCTGTAAGATATTGGGTGCCTTCATATACTGGGTTGGTCTGCTGGCTACCCATATACTGGATATCACAGCATCTTCTTGGCCCAGGTAGAGGCTGAGTAAAAACACCAGTTAAGTTAAACAATTAAACGGGTGGTATGAGTTAGGAATCGGTTTTGCTGCCTTACTGAGTCCCCTTCATGCTAAAATTGTAACAGTGCTCCAGACTCCTCAAAACATCCCAACTGCCTTTTAAATCTTAATGGGATTTTGTTATTTATTTTACTGCTCCTGAAGAACAGTGACTAACACTGTCCTGAAGAAGACAGACTATGAGTACATGTTGCAAAAGTAGTCTCGCCAACTTCTGTTCCCCTCACAATCCTGCTAACCTCGTAGGGCCAAAATGAGAGAGGTATAGGTTATGGTAACAGAGACTGCTTATTACAGCTGTAGATTGTCTTTGGCTAATAACATTTCCTCTGAAAGTAGGCCACTGACTGCCAAATATGTGCTGAAGATGAATGCATCATTTTCATTTCTTTCCTCACACAGAACATGAACATACACTGCTGGAGAAGGATGTGCAATAATGCATTTGTCCAAGTCCAACCTGGTTGTTTAGTGAATGCTGTGGTTTGGGTCTGCTTTGTAAATTAAGAGTACTTTAAGTAGAATTTTACAACAGTAAAACTGACTTTATAAGAATACTGCATGGAAATAGAATTTACTCCATTAAACATCAGTTTTCATCAGCCTCGAGGTAAAAGAAAGTAAAAAGAGCAAGAAAAATAAGTATTTGGGCCAAAGTTGGCTCCACTCAGAGGCTTAAGGTGAGGTATAAGTCCTTACATACTTATCTAAATAAGTGGCCTAGTCTGCAAACGTGCTGAATATCTGCTCACTGTGCTAACTTTCTTTACTGAGCGTTCTGCGCATTTCAGTGATAAAACTAGTTATTTGGAGACATAAAATATAGTTATAGGCACTTCTGAAAATACTTGGCCCTTATAATACTATTTTTGTGCAGAGATATTTTCAAATAAAAACGAAGGAATTCTTATATATCCTGACATGTTCTTTTAACACTTCAAATCTCTTTCCTAAAAGATGTTGTTATTTCTTCAAGGAGCTTTTCACAAGAGTAGAGTTACAAAACCTGATGGTTTGACTATGAGTAATTGCCTGCAAAATAATTTCCTAACATTACTTTAGATTATAACTTCTTTCATTAATTTAAATAAATTCTTCCTTTATCTGTATTTTCTATCACTAAACAGTTGGTATGCGTTCACTATGGTAGTTATATTCTAAAAATGATGTGTTTAATTGCATATTCTTTTCACTGAAATATTTATTACTTGTGACCTGAAAATTGGTTGAAAGCCCATGAAAATTCTGGTACTTCATAACGAAGTAACTTTTCCATCCGTTTAACCATTTTAATTTTTGTTTTCATTTTAGTACTGTTCCATCATACATTATTTTTACTTGATCTCAGATAGAAACAAGAATTGGCAGAGGTCTGAACACCATTCATCTGCCATAATGTTATTTTTCACGTGTTCTGAAAGCACTATTACTTAGCTTGTTTCCCTTCAGAGGCTGCAATGAAACCTTCATCTTGAAGGTAATTTTTTCATCGCCTACTAGCATCCTATAAACTTCACTTTTCTCACTTCGTTACCTTCTGGGATTTGATAATTTCTGTCTTAACACCATTTCACACAGGCCTGTGCTTCTCCTAAACTTTAGCTTCACAGATACTGAAGTTCTCTTTTTAGAAGGGTGCTTCAGCACATCAGCAAACATATCTTATGTGGTCCTCTCAAATATCCCAGGTAATTCTGAGCAAGTAATTGGCAAATATCCATTCTTTCTGTTTTGAAATAAATCTATATTATCAAAGATTGATGATACATATCTTTCTTTCTGAACAGAAAAGACATATTTCATCACAGTTTTCTAAAACATATCAGATGAAAATTTTGTAAAAACGACAGTGGATAGCATATATTCACTGCATATATCACTCAGTTTTGAAAATGATTATATTTCTAGCATTTCTTTTTCCCCTTAACATCATTAGGGGAACGCTTAACATCATTAACTGCTGGTACTGTAGCCTGAACTTAAAAAATACTGAAGATTTTTGCAAGTGGGATCTCTACTGATGACTGCAACGAAATTGTCCATCCAAACCAAAAGCTAAAGAGCCAAGGGGCTGTTTCTATCATGAGAGTTCACTTCATCAAAGTAATTTTATGTAGAGCTATTAGTACTTTATGTAGACTTATTAGTACATGATATCTTCTGGTGCAACATTTACGTCTTCTGTTTTAGTCTTAACTTTAGGGAAATGAATCCCACTTACGGCTAGTAGCAATAAATTTACTGCATGCGCTGTGGCACTTGCCACACAAAGCCAAAAACAGTCTTCAAACTGTTCTTCTAAGATTACAAACTGAAAGACATTTTCCCGAAAATTGGCAATTCTTTCTGTGAGGTGATGAAGTTTTACAGCAGCCATAAAGCTGGTGACTGCAAGTACTATAAATCCACCTGCAACAAAATGAGAAAGTATTCACTGTTGTTGTCAAAACAAGCCAGACATTTTGGTTGTGCTTCAGAAAAGCTTATTAAATACATAAGTCTTATACAGAATAGGGATAGACTTAAGGCATGGCTTAAGCACCTTCAAAATGCTTAATCTTTATGATATGACTAAACATTATACCAGTGCTTATAATAAAGTCCTTTTATAGTGATACAGAGGCTAAAGACTAGCATTCGCAGCTCTTGTAAAACGCTGACAAGACAAGAGGTTGAAACACCATCTGACAGTTCTGTTTTGATAAATGAGAATTCACCGCTAGCTTCATTTTATTTAGAAGATTTTAAGTCAAGGAGCTATATCATAAGGCAAGAGAAGGAAGTTTTACTTTTAAAATTTTGTATGACTGTGACTGATGGAAAAATACTTGTAAATGATTTTACCTGCAAGGAAATTCCAAAGACATACTCCTGCTGGGCCTTTAATAGCGCGGTAGGGAACTTTGATTGCGTTAAGAATGCAGAATCCAAAACTGACCAGAGAAAAGAAAAGGGCCACACAAAGGAACATTATAATCATCACATGCAGGCCTGTATTCAGCTTTTTCACCATATGTGGGAAAACTGGCAAGAAAAAAAATCATTTACTCAGCATGTACTTTTTCTTAACAGTAAACATCACACCATGCTCTTGCTAGGAGCTCAAATTACACTCAAATGAGTTTTTTTTACAGATGCAATCAATTCAGGTAGTTACACACATCTCAGTTCACAAGGCTTTAATTTATTTGTCATTCCATCGAAAAAGCCAAGGCTGTTCTACCACAGGAACAATCCTTTGCACAAGATCTGTAAGTCAGGTATAAAGATTCACTCCCTTCTGATTTTATTTGCTCATGTGATTCTCCTTTCTCTCTCTCTTCCTCTCTTTAATTCTGGCTCCAGTGAGATCTACTCCGAATTCATATTCATAATTCCTAAGCCCACAGGATTTCCACTTTCAATTTCCCTTCTTGCCTTCTCATCCAGTGTTTGCACCGCCATCAGTGCTCTTCTGGGCACCTGATAGTGGTTTAGTTATATTTGTTTGAAGCTTGCAAAATACTGTAGTGTAGGTAGGGCTGGCTTCAGGTTCTGTGAGGTGTCACGTTCATGTATTCTGGTGTACACCGGAGCTCCTTCTCAGCAGCCTGTTGCTTGCCTGCCTCTAGGAATGGCGACTTTCTTAATCTGTTCTTGTTTTCATAGCCAGAGTTAGTTGGCGGGCCAAATCAGCCAGCAGCAGGGAGCTGCACAGCACCTAAGCATTGGGTTTATCCTGCCGCTCTTTGGTTAGAAAACGGGAGGAAACATGAGTAGGAATTAGAGCTGACCGGAAAGATATAAGATGGTCAAGAAGACCGATCAGGGAGTGAAACTTGCACAAAACTAAATGTTTTGAAGGCCCAACTGCCTAATTGCATTACTAAAAAGAGGATACGTCATATTATAAACAAACAAACAGATTGCTTCCTATGCTGCATAACTGAAAAAATCCAAACGAGCCACATTTAAAGTTGGCAGCAATAATTGGTAGATGTCACAGTGAATATGGAGCATATAATTTGGTTATCAAGACATAATAGAGTTCTAGCAGATTATTCAGAAAGCTTCTTACTGTATTCAAGACGCTGTGGTTCTACCTTCTGAGTAACTCATCCTGGGGTTGTGGCGAGCCAGTATAGCGAGGTAGGACGCTAACTGATTTTTTGTAGGTAACTGTTTCAGCCAGCTTAACTTCCTGAACTACTTCGACACACAGCTGCGTTCCAGTGCTGCTGCGTGGGACGGGGCAAGACAGCACAGCTGTGGGCCAGGACAGTATGAGACTCAGCTTACAAAGGTTTAACTTGCTGTGGATCCCCCCCATCCAACTGCACCTCTTCAACGCAAAATACTATTTTTCAGTACAGCCCAGGATATGTGAAAACTTGAAATCCTCCTAAGTACATCTGAGTACTTTTGAGGCGTTAGGACAGCTACAGAAATACATAAATGAGACCAGCTGAACGAATCTACAGTGCGGGGGCGGGGGGGGAGAGGGAGGAGTTTAGCACAGGAGGCAAGGACAGAGGGGCAGAGATATTGCAGCGATCGCTTGGCATGGGAAGGATTCAGGTAAGGGGAAACTATGGCTTATGGGGCATCTCCAAGTCATACTTCCTTCTATAGCTCTACCTGAGATAGATGCAATGAGCTCCACTCCTTCCAAAAGACTAAAAGGAAACCTTCTGCCTAGCCCTAGGGATTTTTTAAATCTTGATTCTAGCATTGCATCTGAGAATATAAAAAATCTTGCCTGAAAAGATGCAGATTTTACATTCACACTTAGATCCCAAACCATAGAGAGCACAAGTGAGCCACAAGTATAAATTTAATAATAATGATTTGCATTCCTCAAGCTCTGTAAAGAAAAGGAACAGGGTGCTTTTAAAGTTGAACTAGGCATTAGATTAAAGATGCAACCAAAATCGTACTTACTTGTGAATTTGGAACGACGCCCACCCAACCCGCACTGGCGGATTTTGCCACCCTGAAAGAGTCCGTAATAAATTTCTCCGATGAACTTGACCATCTCTGGATCTGTGGCATTGACTAAATCGACTCCTGTTTTGCAAAGGATCTTTCCAGTCATCCACTTCTGGGTCCCCATTGCAACAACAATCAAGATAAAAGATGCAAAACTTATTACAGAAGCCAAGGCAAATAAAGTCTTTTTAAAACAGCCAGGCATCCTAGCGCTTTCAAGGAATCCTCTCCAAGGCCTCGCCGCAGTAATTAGGTATGTTTCCCATTTTTTCTGATGCTCAGAAATGCACAGATGAACAGCAAGTATTGCAAAACACACCTCATAGTATTTTGAAGCTCCAGAAATTAAACTGAACAGGTAAAAATCAAGTCCAAAAATGTATTTTGCTGCAGCAACATCCTGAAACGGTTGCAGATAACGGCTTCATTACACTGTAGCGTGGTGGTGCTTCTTTCTGAAGGAAGTAATCCTATATCTATTGCATGCCTAGTGTTTCATCAGAGGGTTAATTGTCCTGCTCAAATGACATCAACTTCTTTACCATAACCACACGGGAAGAAAATTAGGAGCAGAATCTTTTTTTTTTTTTTAAATTATTAAAAAGATGGCTAAACCGTGG